GCCAATATTATTGTAATATCATGTACGTTTGCATTTTGCTAAAGTGCATAAACACATGTCTGCTTAAGTGCTACGATATGTAGTGCCCAGTTTCAAGTAGGTAAATAATTGTGGGTAGGAATTAATTCCTGGGAACCCGGGCTGGGAGTAGGAATTTGCAAGTACAGGTAGTCCTCAACTTACAACAGTTTGTTTAGTGACAGTTCAAAGTTGCAACAGCACTGAAAAAAGTCAGTTATGACAATTTTTCACACTTACGACCGTGTAGTCTCCCCATGGTCACCTGATTTACATTCAGATGCCTGACAACTGGTTCATACTTATGTCTTGGGAGCATGTGATCCGCTTTTGCAAACTTCTGACAAGCAAAGTCAACAGAGAAGCCAGATTCACTTAACAACGTTGTGTTTCTAATTTAACAACTGCAGTGATTCACTTAACAAATGTGGCAAGAAAAGTGGTAACATGGGACATAACTCTTAACAAATGTCTCACATAGCAACATAAATTCTGGGCTCAATTATGGTCGTATGTTGAAGACTACCTATAATAAAATAAGCACTGCAATGCAAAATATGTTTGTTAGTAGTTGTGTTATAAGGTCACATATAAGCACGGAACTAGCAGCGCTTGTTAGAGATAATATAATGCATCAGGAATTTCTTTCCTAATCTGCGCCATATCCCACCATACTACTGTCAGGTGTTTAGATGCGCTATGCCTATACATGGATCTAGCAATCTTCCAAAAGAGCACTAACCCTATCTAGAACTATCCCACAGGAGCAGTGACAGAAAGTGGGTTGGGTGATGCAGCAGGAATGGCCATGATGCTGTACTGCAAACCCCACCGAATGTCTGTCAGCTGCTCAACTGGACCATTTTTACACATCCTGGAGTAATTTTTGGTAAGCAATAAAGTCACCAGTTCAGATATTTATGAGAAGTTAGCAAGCTGCATCCCTCCAGAAGGAGAGTGATTGGTGATGTTTTCTTTCCTCCTGGTGGAATTTAGTGGAAGGAAAAAGCAAAATTCCTTTCCTCCATGTGTCTGTTTGCAGTAAAGAAGAATGGTACCATTTGCTGACAGCATAGCTTTGGCCGACCAGGAATTGGCAATGAAAACAAGAAATGTCATGTTAATTCAGTGGTGAATTAACATGACATGTCAGCGGTGGGCAAATAACCTTTGACTTGGTCATGTAGAGGAGCCTTAAAACAAAAAACTTTAACGAAGGTCAAAATTGTTGGACACTCATATTCTAGTCTACCCTCAACCATGGAAGCTTGCTGGGAGCATTTCCTTTGGTCCTGTTACTCTGTCTCGGAGTGCCATACCGTACAGGATTGGATTGTCATTGTGGGGAAAAATTAGGAGTGTTATGTATACTACCTTGAGCTCCTGAATGAAAAACAGGTAATAAAATCCAATAAATAATTAGACATACATTTCGCTGGAGAATAATGATAAAAATGCTTCATCATCTCACTGAATTCCATGGAATATAAATTTTAATTGTCTGGACTGGGTACTTCAGCCATTTTTCCTAGGATACTGTGGAGCATAAATCAGTTTAATTAAAAATAGGTCCCTTTGCTGCTTTGAATAGTAGCACTGAATGAAAAAATCAAAGGCACAAGAAATAATATGCAGACGAAAGCAAATGAGAGAGCTTTGTCAGGTCAAATATTTTGCAGAATTCAAGAGAAGAACATATATATCAGAGGTGGTATTCAGCAGGTTCTGTCCAGTTCTGGAGAACCGGTAACGGAAATTTTGAGTAGATCAGAGAACTGGTAAATACCATCTCGTGCACGCGCGGGGCACATGCATGCATACTAGCGTCTGTGCAATGCTCCAGCTGCTCCTGGAGGATCGCGCAGGCGCTTTATGCGTCCTGCGCATGTGTGGAAGCACAGAACTCGTCAAAACCGGGTAAGGAGCGCGGGCGGGCGGATGGGCCC